TTATGAAAGTAAACATGTGAAACAACAACAACAATACTCTTTAAATCTTCAGAGTTAGGCATTACTCGCAAAAATTTTTATGTCTTAAGTTTTAGTTAAGACGTAAATTCAAAAATTAGTCTGTTATGAATGTTCACTGGAAATATGTTGGAAAATTCCACTCATCCGTAAAAATCATAGGAGCATTTCATATACTAATTAATTCAAATACATAAATAAATAAATTAATTTAAATATATAAGATAAAAATGCTACCATTGACCTTGTAATATTTGCTTTTTTTTAAATTAATTAATTTTTAGTATTTACAATTTTTATATTTCCTATTGTCCACATATGTCAGAAATAAGCATTTAACATATTTTAAAAGTGATGCCAATTTGCTTTAATCAGACTTATTGCTGTTGTTTTACAATTTTGAATGAATAAATTACGGCTATTGTTAAACTTAAAGATATAAGTTTTGATCAAGTTAGAAATTAGATATTGACATTTAACATATTTTAAAAGTGATGCCAATTTGCTTCAACCAGACTTAATGCTGTTTTTTTACAACTCTGAAAGAAAAAATTACGGCTATTGTTAAATGTGAAGAAATATAAGTTTTAATCAAGTTAGAAATTAGAATAACTAAGTACATGCTTGCCTTATTGATATCGCCCAGTAACGAACCTAACAGCAAAGTATAATTTTATTCTACTCTATCAGTCCTATCTGCAACTTCTCTTAGTATTGTTAAAAAATTTAAAGCAAAAGGTATATAAAAAAAAGCCTTTAATAAACTAATTTTTTACATTCGAAAGAAAAAACTAAATTTTTAATAAAATTTTAATATAGAAATAAAATACTACAATATTATAAAATTAAATAAAAAATATTAAATAAAAAATTTATTATCAAAAAAAAATCTGATCAATAAAAACATAATAAATAATGAAGTAAACTGAAAAATAACACAAGACAAATAATAAATTTTATTTTTTATGTGTGTTAAAAATCATGATATGTAATATTCATATGATTGTTAAACTGCAGGGCTGTAACTAATTTTATAACTACAAGTATTTTATGGGCTACTATTTTCAACGCCCACAGTAATCCTATTACTAAATTACTCAGTAGTACATTCGAGTACAGCATCTTAAATTTATAAATAATATTCTAAATAATGTGAAGTATATATACAATAAAGATATTTAATTACTTCATTCATTCATATTTGAATTTGAATATAAAAACTAACTTTGAAACTTAAAATGGTAAGTGTGTAGCAGCCGAAGCGACTTAAAGCAGAACGAATTGTTTTTTCTTCTCAAAACTGGGTGTGAATATTGATTGAAGAATCCACACATCGCCAGTAAAAACAAAAGAGGCGCTCCAACTTAAGTTCAAGGCAGAATGCATTTTAAATAACTTATTTTTATGTAATTTAAATAAAAAGAATTGTTGAAATGAGAAAAGAAAATTTAAAGGCTTGGTGCTATTTGAAAAATTTACTTAAAAAAATTTAAATAACAACAGAAGAGCACTATATACTCTAAGCATTCAGTTTACAGTAACATCAATTTCTTGATGAATAAATATAAATAAATATATAACAAAGTTAATATTTTATATATAACACATTTAATAATTTTCGAATGTAACTATTAAAAATGTTGTTTCAAAAATCGATTTTATTTATAAATATCTTCTACTTCCTCATTCCATTGCATACCCATGGGAGCATTGGGTTATAAGTAACTCTTTCCAACTATTACGATTTCTTGCTAGGATTTTAAATTCTCCAAAGGTTTTTTCGCTTGCTTGAATTTTTTCTCTAGTGTACTCTTCTACATTTGCTTGGGCCTACCAGGTATCATTGGGCTTACTCATAAATATAGACTACCTTTTAACACCATTGTCAACGTTGTAATGCTTATCTAATATTTTAATTAATTTAAATTGAATTAAGTAAATTCGACATTTAATTAATTACTTAAACTCTCAAAATTGATTAATTGTTTGAAGATCTTTTTTCCGGGAGCATGCTAAAAGTCTATGGAATCCAAATCTGGAGAATACGGTGGACAACGACTAAAACCTATGCATTTTACAACTCAAAGACTAATTTATGTATTTTGTTTATTGTAACCAACGAAGATGTGGGCAGTGCATTGCCCACATTTTTTTATGCTATTATATATAGTATGTTCTATTTCAACTCAACAATAACCTTATATAATATTCGCTATTATTATATGTTCTTATCAAGGTAATCAGCGAGTGTTAACTATTGAAATAATACCGTTTACATAAGATAATATCATTACATAAGATTAAAACTTAACTACGAATTTGTTTATAAGCATTGTTACCGAGTACGTAAACAATATGCATACCTCCAAACTTTCATAACTCGAAGTCCCATTTTGCAAAGAAAAGGTTCGACGTATGGAGACCTCTAATTAAAGATTTTTTTTTAATTGCATTTAATTTGCTCTCTAAGCACTGTTGCACTCTATTTAGTTTGAGTTATAGACAATTCGAGTTATAGAAAAATTTGTCTATATATATATAGATAATATGAAATATAATATAAAACATAAAATTAAAAATATATAAAAGACAAAAAATATTAAATAAAAATACAAAAAAGAAAATATAATATATATATATATATCAAAAAATAACTTTAAATAAATATCAATATATTATAAAATATTAAAAAAAAAAACTAAAATAAACTTAAAAAAAAACAATTTAAAAAAAACTGCTTTGCCGAAACCCGGGATTGAACCGGGGACCTTTAGATCTTCAGTCTAACGCTCTCCCAACTGAGCTATTTCGGCACATAAAAAGATAGAACCAAATTATTAACAGAAATATTACTTTTTTTATTAATAATAAAAAACAATGTAAAACTAATTATATTCTAAAATAAAAAAATATGTATAATGGCTTTTTAATAAAATATATCTGATGGATACAATATAACAAAAATAAATCATTTCAAACAGTTACATTTTGTGCTCATTAATTTATACGATTTAAGTGCTAGAGTTACCAACTCTGAAAAAATTTATACTCACTACGTCTTATAATCCGATAACAGATGTTTAGTCGTAATGCAACGTCATTTAAGATGTTTGAGTGTCTAGGAATTGTAAGCAGGGTAAATGTTGCTCAAAAATGGTTGCAGTCTGTGATAGACAGATAGACAATTTAAAAAATAATAAAATAGAATTGGAAAGGGAAACAGAATAAAGCTTAAATGCATTAAGTTCATTAAAATCGTTCAAAATATTGAACTTTATGACGTTTTTTTTTTCAACGCACTGTTCTGTCAAATATTTGAGAATGTAAGAACTGTAAACACAACAGTGTTGGTAGTCTGTAGTATTTGGTGGTAGTCTGGGATTGATGGTAATAATCTATGATTTAATGGGAAAGATATATTATATTAAAATATTTTTATTAAATTTATTCATTCAACTGTTTAAAAAAATTTGAAATACATATATGAATTGGAAAAAGATTAAAATATGCTAACTGCATTGAAAATTTCAAAATATTGAATATCACCACATTGTATACATGAAATTGTTATTGTACTCGATTATCTAGAAAAATTATTATATGAAAACAAATAATATTCAGCTGATATTTTAATACCTTCATGTTATAAACTTGCCACCCCATGCGGCAAGTTTATATATGATATAAAATAGATTTTATTAAAGCAAAATAAATAGTATTCTTATTATTTACTTATTTTAATACTATATTTTATTCTTTATTTATTGTAAAAACCTATACGTTAAGGTCGAAAACGTTTTATTGTTAATTTTATATTCCTAAAATCTACTTTTATTTAAAGTTGAATCTTTCAATTAAAAACGTTTGTCATTAGCTAACTTATTGAACAAATTGATGGGCGATGAGTTGGGCATCGGTGTTTCAACGCTTTAACATTGATCTAAAAATATTTGGGCATATGTTTCAGCTTCCGTAAAACTAGTTATAAAATAGATAATCATAAACATAGACATATCATCAAAGATGATATATTTTATTCACCTCTTATAGTTTTGCACAATTAACGTACGGATGGGACGCCGTTACCATAGATAGACATGACATATGGTTAGAATCTTTATTATATGACTGACTTACTTCCTTATTGCTAGGTTCTTCCTTAACACTCGGCTCTTCCTTTTTCAAGTGCCTATCTCATATCGCCAATTTTAATATTAAATACAAAGATTTCTAATTGAAAGTGCCTTAAAACTTTATTATGGGGTTAAAAACGAACTAACTTTGGAGCTTAAGTTAATCACAATACAGAATATCATTTTTTATTGACATGTTCTAGCACTACATCAAAGGAATGAATTAAGAACTTTGTCTTTTTACATAGAATTTCCACAAATATTGGTTTCTAGCTATATGTCTTGACTTATTAAATGTTTTATTCGTTTCCTTAACGTTTCTACGCCATGTCATCTTGGGGCGTCCTCTGTTTCTTACACCTTGGAGGGTCCAAAGAATATCATTAGCAACATTATTACTATTACCAACCCAATTTGTTTATAAGTTTTAAATGTATTCACTATTTGCTAGTCAAAAATTTGCAATCTGCTAATTTGGTTTACTGTTCGGTTTTAATAATTGATAACTGGCTTTTGAGATTAAATCGATGATTAATCTTACTTCCTGATCAAAAGTTAATCGGAATTTCAACAATATCTAAAAGTTTATATTTTTACAATTATGTTCTGTTACTCATAACTGTCAAATCGACATTTCTGTTCCCAGTTTTTATAAATATCTTAAATGCATATCGTTAAATATATATTTGAGATACTAAAAACTGTTTTATTCTGTAGTTAAACTTAGTTTATTAAGTTCGTTATAGACTATTATTTGTTGCAACAAAGTCCATCTTTTCGGTATATGATGTCAAAATATTCTACTTTTTATTTAAAATTTTAATTACAAAGAAAAATTATTTAAATGGTTTACCAAATATTTGGATTATCAATTTATTAGCACACAATATAAAAGAAATTAAAGGTATACATTTTGCATATTTGAAGAGAATTAAATTATATTAAGTAATATATCGTGTTATATATTGAAATGTAATATTCTAACCGATGCGCACTTTCCATGACTCTTCAATGATTTATTAGACAAAAACATCCATGTGATAAATTTTTAAATTCGATGTACAATCACACAAATATAACAATTGTCCGTGTACTCACGTTTAACAATATATCTGACTAATTATGAGTTGTTCAATTTAATGGAAACTACAAATTCCATTTTCGTGGTTTAATGGAAACCATTCTCTATCCATCGGATCTACCTATTCAAGTGTAAACGATGTGAGTACTACAAAAACCAAGTACTGTACTGCGCATCAATATTTGATTGCAGTAGATATTAAAGTTGAACCCGGAACTAGATCAGATTTCATGTAGTGAATCCATTGTATTCTTTTGTAATGCATATTATGAATATAAATACTATCTTTATATTATAATGGTGTTGTTTAATTTTGTGCTGTTAATTCCTTCATTCGATAGAGATATTTGTAGTTATTCAAATTACGATTCCATTATAGATCAGTTTATAAATGTTGCCAACAATGATTGAATCATTCAGAAAGTCTACAAAGAGAAAAAATAAATACTATAATTTTCGACAAAATAATGTATTAAAAAATATTGCACGATTACAGTTTTATAATCGCTGCAATTTGACCATACAATTTATAAAATCCGCTATTCTGAGCGCCCATCTTGCTGTAAATGTTGTTTCCGTAATTTACAACTTTACATTACAACCATTACAGACGTAAGTAGTCCTGGGCTACTTCGAATAACCTTGCTGTCGCAAGTTGATAATACCGAGCGCCCCTTAATCATTGGTCACCTGCTCATTCCACCGAAGATGCGGACGTCCTTTACTGTGTTTTATACCTGCAGGTACCGAATCAAACACCTTTACAGCCGAAAAGTGGAACTTTATAGCCCGATATATAACAAAAATCAAGCAACAACTACGTATAGTATAGCGTGAAAAAACAAATGGATCAGAATAGCCGATTTTACCAAAATTCAAACTCAAATTGCACTGCTTGAGAAACTATAATCATACTAAAATTATTTATTAAATTTAATATTTATTTAATAATATTTACTTTTTATTTTAAATCGTAATAAAATACTTTAAAAATAACTTAAAAATAAACATTAAATATTAAAGGGTATTCACAATCTTGCGTAACAAACTCGACAACCGAGTAGCAGAGTAATTGCTGCAATAGCAAATACATTTTGAGTACATGAATTTTGATGTTTACAACATTACCATGGTACTTGATTACTGCACTCATTTACTCGAGTTCGTGAATAACCCAAACAGTACTTGTTTTTCATTTATTCATAGAAATACTGTATGTTGTGTTTATTTAACTTAGCATTCACAAAAAAACCTTACAATTTACTTCCACTTTGGGTTGTAAAAGTAATACAATCACGTAATACAATAATTTAATATCACAATAGCTACTGAGCATAGCTGAACTCTCAACTAATATCAAAACAAAATTATGGTCTACTCTCTTTAGAAAGCAAAAAGTAAGCTAAAGCGATGGACCCAATTTCACAACTCTCATATGATACTAGAACTAGAATTAATTTCGAAATGGGTGCTACATTGCACAATAAATAACAATCAGAACGACTTAACTCTAATCAAATTCTTTAAAACAGATGTTACAGTAGTGACTAGTAAAATGGATCAACAGTGATCTTATTGCTAGTATTATAATTAAAACAACTCCCATGGGAAGAAATAATATTACTAACCTACCTGATTAATGCATTATTAATTCCAGGTGCAAGTATTATTTCTACTTAATTAAAAGATCTATCATGCGTCTAAATGCCAAACTCAAAATATTCTAAACTATTTATAAATCTCGTAATTGCTGCGGGCTCAATTTTACCAATTTAATTTCTTCTACATTTCTTCTCCTCATGACAAATTCGACAGGAATCAGTTTCTACTACAACTATATTCTTTATGAGTCTACAGTGCCTTGTAAGTACAGTTCAATACAAATTGCTTTATTATTATGTTGAAGCTAGTTGAGTCAGTGCACTTGAGCACTTTTACTCTCTTTTAACTGTAAGGTTTCTATTAAACCTCTCTTTACGCCTTGACTGCATTATTGTTTATCACTTCATCAGACTAAGCAATAATTGACCTCAAATATGCATACCGCGCCGAGAACCCTGTAACCATTCTGAGATTCGATAACGCGGTGTTGGTAAACCTGTCAGTTTTCGTAAATTGTTTTAGGACTCTATCCTAAATTGCTTCCAAAAAAAGGAAAAAGAAAATTAATTGACAATTCATCGAGATTTGAAAAAAAAAACAGTACGAATTCAAAGGTACATTAACTTGTTGAATATATCCACTCTGCATTCATACAAAAAAAATAGTTGGCGTGTTACGTTTCTTGATATGTCAGCATCATTTCATAGGGTTTGACATAATATATTATGTTACCCATCCTACTTTAACTTCTACTTTTTTGTCACATAAAGTAATTAATAATCAAAACTTTGTGAAATCTTAGTTGGAATATTAGAATGGGCATTATTACAGGCCATATTATATATTTACTGTACACATACGATCTATCATTCGCTGAGGTAGTCATTATTGTTAATAAGTTATTTACTATTAAGTTATTTATTTATTGCAAATCAAATCCAATAAAGCAAAGTCATATAAATTAACATTCACTTCCATTCGAAAAATTTTCCCATCAATGGCTAAATTAAAATATTCAGCATATAACAAAATAAAAAAACAAAATATCCAACCAATTATTAATAATTGTTAATAATAAATTGGATGGAAAACATATATATACATATAATATTCTCAAAACAAGATTATAAACCCAAAAATCTGCAATTACTCACAAATCGAAACTTATCAATTACAATTAACAACAAATTGTTGCTGCATCCAACTTTTCTAAAACCTATTTAACAGTATCTCATAGTTGTGTGACACTACAGTAACATCTAACATCGAAATCCTGCAGATTCCAATCAAAAAGAACTAAACAACCAACAACTAAATTTATATTTCTCCGTAATATTTCACAAGAAATTAAATATGATATATGTCATATGTCATATCAAATAAAAATTAAAAATACTAATAATCTTGCATCTTGGGGCTTATTTTAGTTACTGCAACTCTAAATCTAAATCTAATAGAAGGAAGTAAATTCACTTAATGCAGATAAACACACTATAAAAGCTTAGTGAGAGTACAGTTTCTGCTTTTAATTGATTTTTTACCTATTAAATTTTTTTTCCTTTACAACTCTTATTTTCCGACAACGAATATTTTTATTACTAATTAAGCAATTGACAACTTTGTGGAAAATTAAAAAATATTAAATATCTCGATAACTTATTTTATGCAATATTATTTTATGTCTTTAAAATTGATCTCCAACAAATCCAAGTAGATCGCTTCTGCATGCTTGCACAGTTGCCAAATGAATTACTGAAAATTATGATCATATCAAGTATTTTATCGGCTATCAAGCCAAGTAATTCCATTGAGAAGGCAAATATTCTACTTCACGTAGTTGATTATTCAGAGATAGCAATCATGTCATTATGGCAGATAACTTCTGCTGTTGCACCACATATTGTTGAACCATTGAATGCAATCTGCCCATCTGAAGTGCTTGAGCACCGAGTCATGAAGTCGATAGTCATCACTTTTTGTAATTATTTGTGCCAAATTGATTGACATAATTATTTCATTTTGCATTAAACCAAGTGATTTGTGACAGCATAAATCTGAGACCATAAAGTTTATTTAAAGATCAACGTTGTCATTAAGTAGATTGACCCATGATATTTTATTTATCACGGAGAAAGATTGCTTATTGGATATGATTAGCAAAAATAGTTGAGTTAAGTGTTAACAAATAAAAGCAATAAGGAGTGCATTGTAAAAATGTTTTTATAATTAAAGTTTTAAAAATTATAAAATTATAAATAATTAAATGGGAAATAATTATATTAATAGATAAAAGAATCTAATAAAAAGGATTTTTATTTCTTCTGAAAAAAACGATACAATAATAATAATGATTTCGTAATTAACCTCAGGTGAGGTTAAAGGTGATTATTGAAACTATCTTTATTGGTTAATTACAGATTAATAAAGAATTGTTAAACCTTAACGGTTACAAAGCCACCATTAAAGAAGAATAAATGTGTTTCTGATGGATTTCTTGGAGATATTTACGACCGAATACCTCGTAAAGAATTTGCAAGGTTCGGCGTATAGATGGATGGCAGTATTAAATTAGGCTAATATAGTTTTGTTTTAAATTTTTTGAGTGGTTATATCGAAAATATTTGAAATTCGGTTTTGTTTTTTTTTCGGCAAATTCGCTTTTGCCATCATCAGAAGAATTCCTAATATAATCTAATACAGTCTAAAAAAATGAACGGAACAGAGTGAGCGTTTTATATCAATTTTTTGACGAAAAATTATAGAAATACATGGCCAGTGGATGAGATTATTGCGGAATTAAAAGCATTTATACTGGTTTATAAGTATAGACTCTGGATTAAATAATATCAATAAGCCTTAAAAAGAAACCAAAAACCATAAAATTTTGGATTGCTTTAAAAATTGGTTTAATTTTTTCGTTTGTCATTTCGATAACTTGTTGTATTTTACTCACCATTTCCTATAATTATGGATAGCCTAATGATTCCTTCATTCTCAAAATATGTCGGTTATAATTGCACCAGATAATATTACACCAAATAACATTACAAAACATATTAGGTGTACCAGTATGAAGTGAGCGTAAAGATACAAATGTTCCGACAGGGAACATTTGTTGTGAAAGAGCCATTTTTTTTTGTTTGTTTGCTATGACATGTGAGAAATATATTTAGTATACATCAAGTCATTGAACAGACAACATCATATTTTTTCATCATGTTAAAAATGTCGAATTTTGTACCAGAAATTGATGATTTGCGGAAAGCATTAATTTTTTGTTTTCATTTGAAGAAAAGTGGTGCAGAGTCGCATCGAATGCTTGTCGAGTCATATGGTGATCATGCTCTATCAGAAGCAACATGCAAAAGATGGTTTTAACGGTTCAGAAATAATGATTTTGATGTGAGAAATGAAGAACGTGGAAGACCGCCAAAAAAGTTTGAAGACGCCGAATTGCAAACGATATTGGATGGAGATGACACTTTGGGTCAAAAGCAAATGGCAGAAATGTTAAATGTTGCACAACAAACAATTTCTGACCGTTTAAAAGCTATGGGAAAGATCCAAAAGTGGGGAAAATGGGTGCCACATGAATTAAATGAAAGACAGATGGAAAACCGAAAAAACACTTGTGAAATTTTGTTTCAAAGACACGAAAGAAAATCGGTTTTGCATCGGATTGTTACTGGCGATGAAAAATGGATTTATTTTAAGAATCCTAAACGGAAAAAATCATGGGTTAACCCGGGACAACCATCAACATCGATTGCAAGCCCAGATCGATTCGGCAAGAAGACAATGCTGTGTGTTTGGTGGGATCAGAAAGTTGTGGTGTACCACTAGCTCCTAAAACCTGGTGAAACCGTCAATTCTAGTCGCCATGAACAACAAATGATAAATTTGAACCATGCATTGATCGAGAAACGACCAGAATGGGCCAGAAGACACGGCAAGGTAATTCTGCTCCATAATAATGCACCTGCACACAAAGCAAAACGGATTCAGGATGCAATCAAAACACTTGGCTGGGAGCTGCTACCCCACCCGCCGTATTCACCAGACTTGGCTCCTTCCGACTACCTTTTGTTTTCATCGATGGGACACGCATTGGCTGAGCAGCACTTTGATTCCTACGAGGAGGTCGAAAATTGGGTGTCTGGTTGGTTTGCTTTGAAAGACGAACAATTTTTTTGGCGTGGTATCCACAAATTGCCAGAAAGGTGGTCAAAATGTGTAGAAAGCAATGACCAATACTTTGAATAAAATGTTTTTTACTTTCCTATTAATAATTAGTGTTTTATTTTCACCAAAAAACGCTCATTTTATACCGGTACACCTAATAAATAAACAATAATATACAATATA